TTAGATGCAACAGAAAGAATGCACAGAATGTTAAATGTGCTATGCTTTTAATTCTTTGTGACACTAATTTAACATATGGACAATAAAGAATTTAATCTTACATTAAGTTAAAAAAAAAAAAAAGAAAGACTAGAAAAACTACTAGGGGTTGGAGCCAATGTCTTGGGAGTGGAAGAAAAAATAGGAAGGAACGCACCCAAATTTGCTTCTAACACGGTTAGCTGATCTGTCTGAAATTACATCCACTTTCAACTGTTTTAATTTAATTATTAAGCCATTTCTTAACCTCATGAATGCAGTTTTCATGTGCTTTCAAATCTGGCCCTGAACTAATAGACCCTTTCACTTCAGTGGTTTTGGAAATGAATGTCAGACGGAGAGGAAAACATTTTAGCAGTGCTTTTCTAAGTGTTAAAGCTCTGAAAACAGTATAGTTTGTACATAAAACTCAGTACACCTGAATGTCCTGCTGGCCCTTTGTCTAGTAATGAGGCAAACCATGCCACCCTTCAAAACTTTTTCCTTTCCAGGCTCAGTCTGCTGTGTTGGTGTGACTGCTGAGCTATCTAACTGCTCAAGTAAAACCATTATTAGGATCAAAGTCCCAGCAGATGAGAAACAGGTGGAAGCCAGGCACCCTGGGGCATCCTTCCCTTCACATGTGAGAAAGAGAATGGCAAATCCAGGTCTCGATTCTAGAATATTCTCCTTTAAAGGGGGAGCATAAAAAGTGAGAGGAAGAAATGTCTGTCAGCAGGGACCAATACTATGGGACTGTTACTGGATTTCTTTCTATTAATTTGTCCTTCTCATTATGTGGAGGAGCTTCTTATATTATCTGGCTCCTTCTTCCATTTAGTAAGAAATAAATGGCTGGTGAATGTAGCATTTGAAATGATAAAAGATTACATAATTTCACCTTTACTGCGTAAAGTGAAATAATGCCTCAGCATGTACCACAAATTAATAATGGTAATAGTAATAGTACCAAAAAACCAAGCCCATTGCCACTGAGTTGATTTCAACTCATAGCAACCCTATAGGACAGAGGAGAACTGCCCCATAAGGTTTCCAAGGAGCAGCTGGTGGATTCAAACTGCTGACCTTTTGGTTAGCAGCTGAGCTCTTAACGACTATGCTACCAGGGCTCCAACAGTAATAGCAGTCAACATATACTAAGCACTAAGCAATGTCAACATAAATCCTATGAAGTAGGTACTATTATTATCCTCATTTACAGGTGAGAGAATTGAGGTGGACAGAGGTTGACTAGCTTGTCCAAGGTCATATTTTTAGTAAGTGGTGAAATAAGGATTCAAATCCAGGTTATCAGAATTCAGAATCCACGTTTGTAACTGCTATACTATACTGTATAATGCGAAACGAATGAAAAGGAAGTACTTAGAAGAAAAATTGAAGCATACGAGCCCACCAGGAAATCAATGCTTTTAAAGCTATACTTATTGATCTTTTCATCAAATATTTAATAGTGATACCTACTATCATGCACCAAGGAGCCCTGGTGGCATAGTGGTTAAAGCACACAGTGGCTAACTAAAAGGTTGGCGGTTTGAACGTACCAGCTGCTCAGCGGAAAAAAGATGTGGCAGTCGGCTTCTGTAAAGATCATAGCCTTGGAAACCCTATGGGGCAGTTCTACTCTGTCCTCTAGGGTCACTATGAGTTGGAATGGACTCAACAGCAGTGGGTTTGAGGGTTTTTTTTTTTTTTTTTGGTACTATGCACCAGTCATTGTGTCTACATTATCTAATTTAATCCTCTGTGAATTAGCTGTTATTATCTCCATTTTACATATGAAGAAGTGGTAGCTTAGGGAAGTAAATTACAAGATCACAGAGACTGTAATTTGAACCCAAACTGGATGACTTCAAAAACTCAAGCTCTTTTCAAGGAGCCACTCTACTTCTTCTTTTTAAAAAGTAATTCTCAACTAAAAAACCAAAAACAACTGCCATCCGCTGGATTCCGACTCATAGTGACCCTACAGGACAGAGCAGAACTGCCCCATAGGGTTTCCAAGGCTGTAATCTTTACGGAAGCCGACTGCCACATCTTTCTCCCACAGAACAGCTGGTAGGTTCGAACCTCCAACTTTTTGGTTAGCAGCCAAGTGCTTTAACCACTGTGCCACCCAGGGCTCCTAATTCTCAACTACTAGGAATAAATTCAAAAAGATAAAAACTTTGACACAAAATTGACTATTTCTAATGTTAAAATTTGAAGGGAGAATTTTTGGTCTTTTCTATCTTCTACCAGACACAGAATAGCTGACTTCTTAAATATCAATCTTAGAAATGGTAAGATTCAAGTGATTTGTTATAACATGGGCCATAAAAGGATAAAGAACATCAGCAGTAAGACTAGTTAGCCTTTATTAAAAGACAGTATTGTTCATATCTCTTGTCTTCCTAAGGCAGACATAAAACTCTAACAGCACTTTTAATTGAACACACGCAGAAGATGATTAATAAATTCTGTTCATTTTCTTATCTTTTTTATTTTTTTGTATTCAGTATAAGTTTACTCTGGATTATAAAAAGAAACTGCTGTCTAGAAGATAGCAAATAAGACTCCCGCAATTCAAAAGAAAAAGGTAGTGTGGACCTAGGCTTAATAAGACAGGCTTCAAACTTGGTAAAATCTGGATATAAATCCTGTCTTGCCTCTCCCACATTTTTATAACTTTGTGATTCTGGATGAGTTATTTATTGAGTATCGAGGCTCAGATTCCTTACTTGTGAAATGGGGATAATAATAGGATCTTTTTCCCAGGGTTATGAGGATGACATGAAAGAATGCACGTAAGACATTCAGCACAGAGTTTGGCCTATAATAAGCACTCAATAAATGTTGGCTTTGAGGGGTCTGGAGACCATGATTTCAGGGGACATCTAGGTCAATTGGCATAACAAAGCTTATTAAGAAAATGTTCTGCATCCTACTTTGGTGAGTGGCGTCTGGGGTCTTAAAAGCTTGC